AACCAACTGAGCCACCCAGGCGCCCTCTTGTTCCAATTTTCTTACCTTTTGGTTGTTCTGTCGAGTATGCGAGTGTCCTTTGGTGCCCAGATCTATTGGGCTTGGGTTTGGGGCCAGAGCAAGAGTTTGCAGAGAGCAAGAGCTTCACTCAAAGCTTTATCCACGTGACCTTGGAGGACGCGTCTGGGGAGCGGGAGCTGGGGACTGAGAGATGACGGGCTGTCCCTGCCCTGTCCCTGCTCTTCCGTCTGAGCAACGGGACAGCAGCCTCACTTCCTGACCCCACGCAGGGTTCGGTCTGCATCCCTCACGGGCTCGTTAGGAACTCACTGCGCACACACCTTCAGTGTTCCCACTTGCTTATGCTGAGTCAGGAGTCCCCACTTCTGGTTTCAGGTCACTGGCTTTGCATACTTTGTTCCCATTTGCATTTGCTTCCTGAGATTCAGCTCAGCACACCAGCTTGGCAAGCCCTCTAGGGAGTAAAAGCCATGTTTTCAAGGCAAAAAGTTTTTAAAGGACAGGGACCTTTAACCTGGAACCCGCTGCCCACAACCCTTCTGCCTCCGTCCACACAGACAGGCTGTTGTGTGCTGCCCCTCGGGGTGTGGGAGACAGACCCTGGGCAGGAGCCACGCCGCCCCTGGCCAGCACCTGGCCTGGCAATCTTGGCTGCACCATCATGTCCACACTGCCCGCTGTGGCCATTTACAACGTCGGGCCGCATCCTGTCGCTGGCCAGGAGCTCCGGGAGGGATCTGCCCAGTCTGCTGCTGCGGGTGCCTCCCTTCCCTCTGGTCTCCTTCACTTCAGACAACGAAATGGCCGTGGCCGCTCTTCGTGGGTGCTCCCTGTGTGCCAAGCACTGTTGTAAGAGTCCCTGGGATGGTTCGAGCCACCACCTCCTACCGCCCTCCGTGTCCAGCGCCGGGTTTCTCCCCGGGGCCCCTGGGTCTCCGTGGTCAGTCCAGTCTTCCTACCTTTCCAGCTCTCAGGCTTGGAGCTTGGTGCAGGCAGCCTAGTGTCTGGCCTGCTCTTCCTGCCTCCAGCCTCACCCCTTCTAGTGCAGCCTCTACCACGGCGCCCCCCCCGCCACGGGATCTGGGCTCCACTCAGAGAGGATGAGGGCCACAGCGTACTTTGCTCTGCATCCAGCATCCAGCACGGGCCCTGGCTCATCGTAGGTGCTCAGTAAATAAATGAATGCATTTTTATTCAACCTTTATAAAAACATTTTTTTCTAGAAGAATTCTCACGGGGAAGCTGCAGAAGATATGATGCCTAGCAGTAGAAACAGCCAGGTGCTGACTGGCCTGCTGAGTGTCTGAGGATGTGCCCCTGGGCTTGTGCGGGGCCACTGTCCCCTCCTGATGGAGTCCCCTTAGGACTGCGGATGGCCCTGGGACAGAGCAGACACATCTGCTGGTGGCCCAGGGCCCTGCCAGCCGGAGCCGGGAGCGGGGGCCACAGGGAAAATGTCTCCAGGTCTTGGCTAGAGGCAGAGTCTTCTGGGATTGTGACTTGGTCGCCAACCGCAGGGGCCCCTTAGTCACCTCATGGAGGGCTGAGGGAGACCTCTGTCGGTCTGGAGCTTGTCAGTTACAGATATTATTTGGAAGGTGGCCAGGAGGGGAGAGTGGGGCCGGCCTGCTGGCTAGGAACTCAGAGGCCCAAAGCGGGGGGCGCTGGAGGCGTGTGGTGGGGTTCCAGACCCCAGACTCCAGGGCTCAACCGCAGAGCCCCCAGCCCTGACCCTCGGTTGATTCCTCCTTCTTCAGACCTTGGCTCTGAGCCACGCGTCAGGGGCCTCCCCTCAGCAGCATTGAGGGGTCACAGGCCCGCTTCTGGCTTTATACGCTTCTGTGCATCTAGTCCTTCGTCTGCTGGATGGGGTGATGGGGCCCCTTGGCCCTCCTGCCGTCTGAGGCCTAGGCGAGCAGCCTGTGTAGGTACGCCTGAGTCCAGCGCAAGCACTTTCCATCCTTGCGGGGCCCGCCCGTGCACCCCACCTGCTCCCCCAGCCCCCAGGAAGAGTCCAACCTCTGCCGGCCCCTCAAGAGCGACCCCCCCCCCCGGGGGGCTCTGTGCCTTTGTGGACCGCAGCCCCTCCCCAGGCGCTGCCCCACCCCTCACCGGTCTCCTTAGGGCACCGTGTTCCTTCCACGCCCTGGGACGCTAGTGCCCCACAGCCCAGGGCAGACCGGGCTCCTGAGCGGATGACTGAATCAGCCTTTGCCCCAGCCCTTACTTCGCTCAGCACAACGGAACTAGATACTTCAAAAGGAGTTTTCATCAGGATTCTCTGAGAACACAGAGGAAAGTGGGGAGGTGCCGAGGGCCCGGTCTTGGGCCCGTTCTGGAGCTTGCCTTCTCGTGGCTAGGTGGCACTGGGACTGTGTGGTCACTGCAGGCCGGGCCATGTCATCTGTGGACTGGGGGTCATCACACCCACCCTTGAGGGTCCGATGATCCCTGAGCATCAGTGCTGAGGTCAGAGCTTGCACGTGGCGTCCAACACCTGGTCACGGTTCCAGACTCCAGCTGCCTGAGCCCGGTGCTGCCGGAGGACAGGTGGCTCTAACCATGTGCAGGAGCGGGACGGTCTCAGGATGACGGCACACACTGGCTTGTACTGGGAAGGTCACCAGGCCGAGTGTCAGATATCAGGCTCGGCAAAGGACAAGAGCCCAGCCCCTCTGTGGTGGCACTCACGCCTCCCTTCCCTGGGCCCAGGGGCCGCCCTGGCTCTGGGGCCTGCAGCCTAGTCCCCAGCTGGGCACCTGGGCTCTGGACTCGGGGTCAGCTTTTCCAGCCTGCCTGTCCGCTGCCTGGACTCCTGCCAGATCCCAGTGACAGGCTTGCCCCTGGGGAAGCGTCTTCTTCTGCTGATGCTGTTGGCGAGCCTTTCTGCCTGGCTTGACGGATTGTCTTCTCTTGTCTCTCCTTCAGCTGCGTCGAAAACACAGAACTTCTCAAACCCGGTCTCCTTCGAACGTCCCGTGGGGGCCTGGGTTTCCCGACACGAGACCTTCCTCGATTAAGCTCATTTGCTGGGCGGGGGTGGTGGACAACTGCTTCGCCCTGAGCAGTCTTCTCGTCAGCCTCTTCCGCCACCGCCCGTTGGCCGCTGCGGGGAGCCGTAGGGCCCCGGGAAACCCTCTTCAGCCTGGGTCCCTGGGCCTTGGGTGGACGAACATTGCGCTTCAGGCACAGGTGAGTGGAGGTGCTCTTGTCTGGTGCAGCTGGGACCCTTAGCTTGTCATGTTGTCAAGCAGCTGGTTGAACGAGAGAATCCTCAACAAACAGGTGTGCATTGTTTCAGTGGGATGGATATATTTGGGAACAATTTGAGCATAAGGCAGGTTTGGTTTGTTTATGTGCAAATATGTCCAAGGGAAATGTGAAAACGGCAAAAATTGCACCCGCTGAACAGACCACAAAACACACTGGCCCCAGACGGCTGCGTCACTGCCTCCTGAGCCACACCTGCTCATGCCGTGCAGGGTGTCACAACTTCCTCAACTCCAACCACCAGCTGCACACAGCAGCAAGCCCCACCCCCGCCCCACCCCCACCCTCGGAGGGCAGGTCTTCCAGTAAACACCACTCCCACTGCACTGTCTGCACCTCTTAACCCCTTAGCACACCTGGGCCATGCCACCATCATGTGTATTAGGCTCCTGCCATCTGTGGCTGGGGAAGGTCTGCATGGCCACCTCCCCCGTGTTTCTCACCAGTCTTTGGTTTTATTGCCTGTTCAGCCCCGACTCCACCGCTGCATGGCTCTGACTGGTCATTAAATGGCCACAAGTCGTCAATTCCTCCCCTGTGCCACAGCCCCCTTGATCAGGCTCCCCCATCTGCTCATCCGTCCATCCAGCAGCCCATGACC